ATGAAAACGGCCGTGTCATGTCCATGTTCGTGTCCTCATGTCATGACACGGCTCCAAGACATGAGACATGAGACACCAGGCTCACAGCCGCACATACCCGACGTTCACCTTTTGCAGCCTTTACGCAAAACAGCAATTAGTGGTTCGGGCTCGGATTTGCACGAGCGCTGAGCATTTACTGTGGCAAAGCAAATAAACGGTCCGTTGCGTATAGATTTTTCTACGTCGATCCTCGGTAGTACAACAACTAGGGAACATTTACCCCAATAGCTGCGGGTAAAATATTTTTATCCAGCTATAATTTAGAAAAGTACAAGGACCTCCCAATTGTAGTTTGAGCGACGGTTTTTCAATATCACAATAACATATGATGGCGTTTTTATTTCGAGTTCGACGAGCGTTGTTCGCGCTTTTCTTTCTGCGGTCGTATCCTGAGTAAAAACGTCCCCACCCCATAGTCAAGATGGGGACCACTTTGCAGCACAAATCCACAAGTTTTGGGAGTCGCGCGTGATAAGTTTGGGCTCGTAGTGTGATCCAGTTTAGCTAGTGCAGAGGCATCACAAATCGACTGCCTCATCCTGATTTCAGCATCACAAACTCCCAGATAGTAGCAGAAAATGGCCCACATCATGGACCTGCGAATGAGAAATGATATTTTTTGTCTTGCAGATGACTTGCATGACAACTACGGGTAGTTGGGGACGTTTTTGCTCCGGATAGGTCGCTGTCGGACAACATTTTGGCGAACGCGGATTTTTCAGGACCGTCGGCGGCCCCGAGCGCAGTGGGAAATCAAGAACAGCGGGAGCGAGCAGCAGGGACCCATCGGCACAAGAGCGATGTCCTCGCGGGAAATAAGAATGAAGATAGGGACGGCGCAACACTATGTCTTGCAAAAGTACTTCTATCGCACTAGTGTACGAATCGCGTTGCACCTTTTTCCCGGCATCCATGACTAGAAATGGACCTTGTAATGCGGATTTTTTACCATACGGAAGCAAAAGCATGACTGCAATTTATTCTACTACGAGTGCGATACTTTTTCTCCTTGGATACTATGCACTGGAGATGAACCGTAACTCCGCGCTGAGTGAAAATTCATCTCTGCATGAAATGAACGAAACGATAGGTAGAGAAGAGCTTTTGGTACTACAAGGCTGCTGATCGCAGCTCTGGGTGCGTAGTACACAAAGGAAATGTCTTGTGTTCCTGGAAAACTGTGTAAAAGTGAAAATTACTTTCCTCGGCTTTTTTTGTGATCTTTTTTTCTGTGTTGTACGTTCGTTGTTAAGACTTCACTCTCAACGGCGCACTGAGTGGGACGAGTGTAGTAGTTCTGTGGTGTCCACCAAAGTTGCAGCTACTGTGCCAAAAAATCTGCTCTCTGTCGTGTGCAAACCAAGCAAAATAGACTTGATTTAATACGTGTCTTCAAAGTGCTTTCATAGTACACAGCTTGAACGTGGTGTTGGTTTGTTGGCATTGTTGGCAGGAGCAGAAACTGCGCCATTTAGGCGAATCACAGCGTAAGCAGACGTGACCAATGAATTTTAGCACACGACTTCTGAAAGAACAACCCCATTATCTGAACTGATACATAACTGTTGTAAAAATAACGGCGGTGTCAACACAAAATATGAGTCTCTTGTCTGCGCTGTACTTCTTCTCAAAAGCAGGAGAAGGATTTTGTTCTGAAGGAGACTCGGTACAACTATAGCACGAAAACAACAACTTAGAGCGGACAATAAAACACTCATTTCCACCGATGGACTCGCCAAATTTCGCGTCGCCGCCCACCCGGGCGCGCAGCTGCCTGGGCGAAGACCATCCGCAACACAGCCAGAGCACGAAGTCGGACACCCTTTTATCGTAAGGAAAAATCCCCCCTCCCCATATCGAAATGGAATGTTTCCGAAAATTTGTGTTGCTGATTTGAGGTCACAAATCACATTTGTCTTGCAAAAAGACAAGGGTAGAAGCTTCCGCCCCATTATGGAAGCGATTTGCCATGCTGTTGGCCCTAAAAGTGGCCCGCTTGCCATGCTGAACAACTAGACCCATACGCCCCTACCTAGCCTGCGGATCTGGCCGCAGTGCCTCTCTGCAATACAGACCTGATTTGTGTACACACTTCCAGCATCAGAAATTCCGTTTTGATATGGGGAGGGGGGATTTTTCCTTTCGATACCTTTCGAACCGGGAGGACCGCCTCTCCACCTTTGGCCGCTCGCCCCCGCACTATCCTGAGTAAAAACGTCCCCACCCCATAGTTGTCATGCAGATCTGCATGCTCAGAATGTGTGTCATGCGGCTCTCCATGAGAGGCATTACCTAGTGGCGTTTGGGAATCTGTCATGCGCTAATCAGGATGACAGACTGGATCTGTGATGCGTTTGAATTAGCCAGGCACGACTACACTGCGTAGCCAAACTTTTTATGCGTGAGTCCCAAAGATGCTCGATTTGTCTTGCCAAAGTCCCAACTTGACTATGGGGTGGGGACGTTTTTACACAGGATACGCACTCAGGTTGCACCAGCCTGATGCTGGCCGCCTGCAGTCGGTGTCACCGGGAGTTTTTATTGGAAAAATTGGACCGGGACGGGGACAATAACCACACGTGTGTCAGTATTGATAAACTTGTTTTAGTTTTACAGATGATTACCGCGTTTTCGTGATGCAGATTTGCACATGTTGTACCATTTGCATACCATGATATTTTTCGCATGACAAATCACTTCTCGAACAAGCCTACAACCCCTATCACTCTACCCAGATTGCCGCGAGCGCCAGGAGACGCTGAGCGAGATTCTGTCCACGGAAATCATTATCTCCGACCCGTATCCCGTCAGCGACGACGAAAAAGGGGACGTCGATGGTCTTCAGCATCACAACTTCGCGTCCTCAGCGCACCAACCACATCCAATCGACGCGTCGCCGGAAACCGCACGCGGTGCGGGGGTCCAATTGCTCCTGCACCGGCCGAACAACACCGTGATGTGCAACAAGCGAGGACAACATCCGACGACGACCCTGGCCCGCCGGCAGCACCGATACTACGCCGGGTCCGAGGATAGTCTGGCGCTGGACATGCGCAAGAAGTCGGCGGAACTTCTGTTGCAAAAGCGCGAAGACCTCGCCATGTTCGAGGACGACGTCATGCAGGCCAGCGAGAGCTTATGCAATGCAAAAGTATCTTCGCGCTCGTTGTACTAATTGCAGATATGAATGACAAATCTTCTTCCTAACGCCAAAACCGCATTACAAATTTCTCTTGTCATGCTGAGCTAATTTCTAATGCGGTTTAAACTAGTATAAACGAGTGCGAAGATACTTTTGCTATGCATAGAGCTCGCCTCCCAACCACATGCCGTCCTGCGACGGGATGGTCGTGGTGTGTGGCGGCGCAGATCATCATGCGGGGGCAACGAGTGCGACGGGGGAAGAAGCTGCGCAGGATCATACGGAAAGAAACGTGATTTCCACCACAGCTGCAAGTGGACCTGAAGATGATCCGCTCGCACCGAAACGACCAGGAGTCGAACACGCAATAAAAACATCCAGCTCGTTATCTGCAACCGCGTCATTACCAACCGACCAGGATCAACATTTCGGCGTCGTGTCCTCCTTGAGCGAACTGGAGACCGATGGCCTGGACCTGATGGCAAGCCAGAAACTAGACGGTTTGCGATTCGTCCACGACGAGCGGACAGCGGGAGTTGTGCGGGAAGATGAGGATACAGGAACGGGGAAAGAAGATGAAACTGATCCGGTTGATGTTCACCACCAAAAGAAGACAGGAGGAGTAGAAGCTTCAGATGTAGTAGTTGGAGCAGAGCGACATGCCGTAGAAAGCGGAGATATTGACCACCTCCAAGCAGCGCCTAAAGTAGGTGACGATGAAGAGGAGCCGGACGAGGAGGTGCTGCACGTCGTGCCCCACCGTGATTACACCGTCGGCGTAGACAACGCACACTTCTGGCGCGAGGTCGGACCGATTTACACCGGCACAGCGGTCAGATTTCCCAGAGCAAATTTCGAAAGTACAGAAATAACAGGCGCAAGAACAGCAAGAACGTCAAGAGGTAATAATGATGATGATGATCATCTTGTCCACGCGACGTCGGCGGCAGTCGCTGGTCAGGAGCGGGACAGCAAGGACTGTTGTTCCACTACAATCACCGACTGCTCCACCACCGCGCACAACGTCTCCAGCACCACCGAAGTACTAGAGCACGACGCCAGTACCAACAGCGGGGCATCAAAGGTCTTACTACAGAGTTGCAGCATGGCAGATTTGGACCACGCCTACGGGCGGCTCGGGTTCCGTCGGCAGGAGCAATTTTGGCACGAGCAGCGGTCGTCGCGTGAGGAGCCTACAGTCAGGATGTTTGGGACGAGCGGGGTGGACGAGTTGTACACAGAGGAGGTTGTTGGTACGTCGCATCAAGAGGAGGACCACGTTGAGAATTATGATGTTGAACACGAAGACAAAAATGAAGCAGCCGGAGGTGGATCAGCAGTTCCTCTAGAGGATTACTCCTCCTCTTCGACCAGCGCCGAAAGCCGTGAAGAAAGCAGAGAAATAAAAGACAAACCCGTGCACAAGCACACACCCGAAATTCTTGAAGAAGAGACCATCGACCTGTTTTTGAGCAGCGTGCTGCAGCTTCCGGGCGGTGGTGCAGTGGGCGCTACGGACGTAGATGCAAATCTCGGCGATAAGAACAAGAGTTCTGGTGACAGCAGGGGACGAAACGAGAATGCAGTCAGCGACCTTAATATTCAACCGGGCAGAGAGCAGCTCTCGGACCACTTCGACGACATTGTCAGCGTGTTCTGCAAAAGCAAAAGCACACCGAGTTCTTGTGTGGCCGCCGGAACAAGTAGCGCAGGAGCAGTAGTACCGATGAGGAAATTGACCGGTGGTCTGCCAGCAGCGTCCAGCTTCTCTCTCCTCGGCTCTTCCACGGAGAGTGGCAGTGCGGGAGGAGGAGGAGGAACAGCAAAGCGTTCTTCTTCGCCACACCCCAACCCGCTCCTGTCTCTCTCTCCCCCGATCTCCGCGACGACAAACGCGCAACAGGCTTTGAAATCGCCGCAAACGCGCCACTCGCTCCACTTCAGCCTCGATATCGCGTCCAAACATACGCACAACAGGGTCAACTATCAAATGCAAAAATGTCTGGGGCTGGAACAAGATTGCAACTTGTCATGGTAAATCCGAATCATGCAAAAATCTGTGTTGCATGAGTGCCAAATAAAGCTGCCCACTTTCCTCGACCAAGTTGGGAGGGAGTTTCTCATGCAGGAGAGGCATGACAGAGACCTCACAGACTCTTTCATGCTAGGTCCCGCATTCCAGACCTCATGGGTCATGGAAAACCTGCATTACAAGTTCCAACCTTCCAGACCCAGACATATTTGCAATGCATATCAACCAAAGTTTGATCGGGACGCTACTCGGGTTCGATATGGATGTGTCAGGTTTGAAATCGTCAAAGTTGAAATAGTTTGTCATGCATAAAACGGATACCGGTTAGACCTACAGTTTGTAGTCGGTGCATGACAAATTTTCCCGGTCCTGGAAGCGAGTCTGTCATGCGGTTTAGGGCAAAAGAGCTGCCTTCTGTCATGCTACTTAGCAGTCCAACTTTTGACCCTTACCAGGACTATAATCTGCCTCCCGTGGGTCCTCTGCAATAGAGTCACTTTTTGTATCGCATTTTATGCATTACAAAGTATTTCAACTTTGACGATTTCAAACCTGACGCCTCCATAATCGAGAACCAGATGCGCGCGGGGGCGGCGGACATGAAGAAAGTGGAATACGTGCAGAGCGGCGGTGGTGGTGGGGGAAATGGAAATGATAGCAGAGTGATGAACAACAGTACAACTTTAATCACCGACACCAGTCTTCTTCCAGTAGGACCACTAGTGCAAAATAACAAATCCAACTTTCTCCTGGAAGAAGAAGACGACCCGAGTGTCGAGCACGAGCGCGCGCCCTGCCGGTTCTGCGGTCGCAAATTCCGGGTGGATCGGTTGGAGGTGCACGAGAGCATGTGTCTGACGAAAAACGCAATGGCACGGCCCACGTGGGACAGCCGCCGGCAGCGGTTGAAGGAGATCCCGGCCCTGTTCTTGCACAGTATCGACCACGACCGGAGTGCCATGTACGAGCATCTCGGAGGTGGACACAGTTCCTACCTCGGAACCGGAGATCATAGTTCTACCTCTCATGGGGGATCATCATCATCATCCTCCTCATCTTCTTCAGCCGCGTATCATGGTAATAGAGGAGCTGCCGCAAGTCGAACCGCTGGTGCGCATGGTGGTGGCAATGAACGAGGAACGACTGGGCCTTCCTCGTCGTCGTCGTCGTCGTCCACGGCTGGCGCTAAGGGAACTGGACGTGGGGGAGGAGGCGCTGGAGGTGCATCTAGTACAACAACAGTGAAACTTATCGTAGGAAAAAACTGTTTCACTGTGATGATTTTGCAAGATCTGCATCACAAGTTTGTTACACATCACAAAGAAAACTTGGCATGCGTGCTTCCTAAGGGAAAACACAGCTAAGAATCCAATGTCTTGCATGTGTAGCAAGACAAACACATTTGCGTTCCGTTCTATGCATCACAAGTTCACAGTGAAACAGTTTTTTCTTGCGATAAAACTCGCGGCCTCTCTCCGGTCGAAGTTGACCCGGTCGGGCAAGAGCGCTGCGAGAGCCTATGGATTGCAAATATGTCTGGGTCTGGAAGATTAAATTAAAACTTGTCATGCTAGATCTGAATGATGCAAAAATCTGTGTTGCGTGAGTACCAAAAGCTGTCCGCTTTGGACCAAGTTGAGAGGGAGTTTCTCATGCAGGAAAGGCATGCGAGAGACCTCAGAGAATCTGTCATGCTGGGTCTCGCATTCCAGACCTCATGGGTCATGGAAAACCTGCATGACAAGCCTTGCATCCTTCCAGACCCAGACACTTTTGCATTTGATAAGGCCGGCGGCAGAACATCAACGGCGGTGGGGTCATCTTCTAGTTCGAAGCCGGCAGCTGCCGTGCTCCGAGTGAATGCCGGGGCCGTTGCGGCCTATCCACCTGTGGGAGCTACCAGCACCACACCAGGGAGGACGACGCAGGCCGGAGGGCAGCAGGGGGTTCCTGCGACGACCAGCAGTGCTTCAAGCAGCTCAACGTCATCTTCAAAGCAAGGAAACAATTCCTTCAACCCAGCCGCCCGATCCGGTGTCCCTCCTGCGACGGATGTGTCCTCTGGTGCCACGGAACAAACTACAAGCAGAAATAATAAAAACCCAGTGACCACGACTCTTTCCCCACCGTTGCAGGTGAACAAAAATCTGGACCACACTACAAACGCTTCGGGTCCAACGCTGAAGCAAGGTGCCCTCGGAAATGCGAAAGGCAAGAGCCACATGCCACCCGAGCAACCATCGAAGGACGAAGATCTGGTGCGCAAAGAGTGTCCGCACTGCCACCGGTTCTTCCGGCCAGAAGCACTCGAAGTGCATCGGCGCGTGTGCATTTCGGTCTTCGGAACGAAGCAGAAGATGAAACCGAGTTCTTGTGGGGCGCAAGCTAGTACAGGGGGGAGAAAGGAAAGCAGAAAGCAACGTAGTACACATTTGTGATGATAAGTGTTTCGATTGAGCATCAAATTTCGTTTTAGTCCGATGTAAACCGAGTCCAAGTTTGTTGCTATGATCGTGCAGGAGCGCTATAGCAAAAGATTCAGCCTACAAAACATACAGGCCCCGTTCGTGCGCGGTCGCAGACGAAGGTCACCTACCCGCGTAGCCCGAAGACGGAAGTGGTGCGTCAGCAACGCCAAACTGCGAAGTTCACCAATAGAAAACCTGCAACTCCGAACAAAAACGGTACCACGACCTCCCTGGCACCGTCCGTGGATGCTTCCCAAGACTTTGATACGGACACGGATACGGTCACGAAGCTCCACGACCAGACCGCGGAGCTGAACAAAAAAGTGGAGGCGCTGCTGAACACTTTCAGTACTAGATAACACGCTTGTCGTCTTTTGGCTCGTGTTTTTCATGCGTGAAGTGTATCGCGGGCAAGTAAGTTTTGTCATGCATGCAGCATTCATACGCTGAAAATGTAGTTTGTAACAACGACCAAATCAAAAAACAGACCAAGACCCAGCCTCCTCCACGAATTCTCGCTTGTCGAATCATCGCACCCTCCGCGACGAATCTCTTACGCTCCTGTCGCCGAACCTGCGGCAGTCGACCAATTCGGACACGATGCTGTTAAAATCCTCCAGCGACTCGGACCGGTCCTGGGCTAACCGCTATAATACCACGGCGCACCGCAATACGCTCACGATGTCCATACACTTCGAGCACAAAGCAGTGAGGGAAGCGGCCAGTTCGTTCCTAGCCGCCTCGCCGGAGAAGCAGCGGAACAACGTCGATCAATCAGTAGGAGCAGCGGGTCCTGTCGATCAGTCATTAGCCTCCTCGTCCGGAAGTGGAGGTTCTCAACACTTTTCGCCGGACAAAATGTTGGAACTGAGTTCGTCCTCGCGGGGGTTGGGCTTCACTTCCCCGGACTCGCACCTCCTGAAGATGCGGTCGACGCCGGAGCGGGAGGTCGATTTTGCGACCGATATGGCCAGGAACAACTACGCAGGCTTTTCTGCAAGCACTTCTGCAGAAGTGCCGATGGAGTTGGACCCAACATCTCCTAGCAACGCAGAATTTTCCACCGGCAACCACACCGATGGCGGTTTCGGCCACCATGGCTACCGCGGAGGTGCTGAGAGCGCTGGCGCAGCTAGTACTACTTCGTACTTGCACAGCAGGAGCAATGTTGCTGTTGAGCATATTGAACCTTCGTCCTCCTCCGACGTCTACGGTGGCACGGCGTGGAAGATGAATCAGGACCGCACTAGCAGTGCCTCAGCCGCAAGAACCACAGAGCGCTCGGTTGCACCGGAAACTGGTGCAGTGACTCACGATCATCGCTATGGAGCTATGACAGAGCCGTCCCGAAACCTGCTCGACGCCCCGGTCGTGAGTGATGTGTACGGCGGTCAACATGGAGTACTGCCGAACGCGCGGCGAACTCCTCCAGATCATGCCACTGTTCCCCCGGCGTACTACCAGCACGACTTTCTGAACACGGGGCGGTTCGGTGCCGGGGACGAGCCAGCTCGGGTGCAGTCCCGCAGTCCAGGCGACGTCGCAACGCGGAATGAGGACGAAGACTGCACCATCGGTGAACAATTATCCGCAGGCAGTGCATTCTCGGGCCGGAAGCAAAGGGAGGAAGAAGCGGGACGAATCAACTGTATAGTATCATCTTCCGCAAGAACGGCCGGGGGGATTCCCGCTGCTGCTGCTCCCATGATGCTACAAGAACTTCCCGCCTCCTCCTACAACCCGTCGAAATACGCAACTCCGACGAGAACACCCACGAAAACAAATTTCTCAAGAAATAATGCAGGGCCAGGAACTCCTGCCGGTGTTGATGAATGCCAGATGTCACCGTCCGTGACCGACAGTGGCAGCAACCCGCGGACGCCGACGAAGCGGCACGAATTCATCCTCGATAGTTTGGAAACGCAGAGCAACAGTCTGTGCAAACAAATCCGGGACTGCACGCAGAAGCTGTTGCTCCGCAGGCAGCGACACCACGAGACCATGGAGGCACTTGGGAAACGAGAACAGGGTGGCCGGGAGTGATGACGGCTGTAGACGACGTGGGATGTGTTTTTTTCGATGAAAATAGAAAGTGTGTCGTGAGCAGCAGCTTTTGGTTAAATTGGAATTGTCATGTGTACTTGAAAATTTGTAGTAGCGAACAGTCTTGCAACACTCTTGTGAAAATGTTGTGATCCGAAAATTTGGTCGTTGAAAAAGTTCACTCGTGTGGCTTTGGCATGAGATAATTCTTGCGACACCATATCAATGTAGTGGAGTTAGTGCTACAGTAGTGGAAGATATTTTAGTGATAGTCGAGACAAAACTGTTTTTTTTGTACTGCTGGAGCGAGTACTTGAATTGAATTCTCGCGAACTGTTTTTGGCCGCTGGCCGCTGATTTTGAAATCTTTTGAACAGGGAGCACGGATAGCTCGGGTTTTGCTTTTTCGGCTCGTTGACTTGAAGTTGTACTGGAAATGAACAATGTCTACTGTGGTATGATGCTTGTTGATTCCAAACAAGCTGCATTTTTTACTTCTGCTTCGATAGCTGTGGGGAAGCTGCGCTTGTCTAAGCTTGAAATTAACGAATTCAGTATAGCGTTTATTCAGATGCAAAAAGCTGCCGCGCGTAGCTAGCAGCACGCGCTTTTGGAATACAAGTGCAGCAGGGGAGCCACTGCTCTCCTCGCCGTTGTGTTCGACAGGGAAACTCTGTCGATTTTTACCCCGCGTTGCAAATTTTTCACCAGCAACATTCCATTTTTTCGGACATCCTCTACCGCACTCGTGCGATCGAGATAATGCTGTGCTGCTACTACTATTGGATCCTGCAGCCACTAGCACCACAAGAAAGATCATGAGAAAATTCAACACCACCACGACGACAAAAAATGCGGTTGGTCGGCCTGATGGCATGCACCGCGAAGCAGCACGTGATCGGCAAAGACGGCCGTCTGCCCTGGCGGATTCCGGCGGAATTTGCGCATTTTCAAAACACGGTGGTCAATTCTGCAGTGGGACAGAAAGAACAGCCGTCTTCACTTTCCACACCTAGTAGTGCAAGGCAGATACTTGTTCCCCCCTGCGTGGTGATGGGCCGCAAAACCTGGGAGGAATTTCGAACGCTGGAATTTCGGAAAAAAGTCCGCACCATTGTCGTCGTCTCTGCGACGCTCGATGTTGATTTTCCCGCGGCTGGAGGTGCTGGAGATGAAACAGACGGGAAGGTCGTGGTGTTGCGAAATCTGGACCAGCTGGTGGAGTGGAAGAAAGAGCATAGTGTGTTGCAGCATGACAAAAACTTCGTCGGTCCTGAAATAAGTCCTCCTCGTCCCACTACAGCGTTCATGATCGGCGGTGCTTTCCTTGCCCACGCCTGCGCGGATTTAGGTTTGTTGGACGGGTTTCTGCTGACCAAAATCCGGATGGAATACGAGGGGGACGTGAGATTGGACGTGGAAAGGGTGACGAGGAAGTTTCTGAGGCGGAAAAGAAGTAGCGGACCGGAGATGGAAGGCGTAGGAGATCTTCAGGTAGATGACCCGGAGTGTACAGCAGCCGCTGCGTGGTTGGGTGAAACAAATCATGCCTCCTGTGGAACTTCTCCTCTTACTGTACCACAAATCGTGCTTGACCATCCTGAATTCTTCGTCGAAAAGTATGAATGAGGTTTAATTTTCATCCGTATTTTCGAATCGACGCCGGAGGGCCAGAAGTGCTTTCGATTTATTTCGCTTCGCATAGTTCTTCGCTTGGAGGATTCGTGACTACAGACGGTTGGAAGTAGAGCCGTTCTCGAGGTAAGTACTAGTTAGTAGTTTGCAACATTCATTATCGTACAAAAGCGGAAATGAGCAGGTTGTCGCCGGGTGCTTCTGCTCCTCTTGCGACATGTCATAGTGAACAGGAGCAGACCCACGCACGAAAAAACTGGCCGATCATTCATTTCGCATCTGCATGCGACCACAGTCCACAGGCAAGTACATGTTCTCAAATGATTCGCCCTAGAAGGAGATCATGACTGCACATCCGCCATGTACCGGAACTACTTACGACGTCTTCATGGCCAAAACACTTTAATTTGATAATGGAAAGAACAGACACAGCAACGAAAGAGACTACAAAAATCATCAAAAAGAACACACTTCTGCTGACATAGTAGGTAGTAGAGAGTAAAGTTTTGTGTTTGATGCCGTTGTAGGCTACTTCGCTGGAAAGGTGAAATAATTACTTAGACCTATTTCTTACGCCATCCTAACGTCATTTTATTCTGAAAAGCGAGACACAAGCCGCAACTGTGGTCCTTTGTGTAGTTTCCTAAACCGCTGCAGCGGCCCACCAAAGAAATCGGAAGATGGCGGAGGCAAACACCCCGGAGCAGTGGTACAAGAACCTCCCGGTTCTGACGAGGTATGGATTGACCATCATCTTCGCGACCACCGTTCTGGTGCAAACGGAAATACTCAACCCGCAGCTGATCATCCTGCACTGGCCCCTGATCTGGGGCAAGCTGCAGCTCTGGCGCATGCTCACCTGCGTCTTCTTTTTCGGAGGGTAATATGATGATGAGTTTTTTTAGATAAGTATAGTTTCTTTGCATGGCATGCTTGATTCCCCGAATTTATGAGGAAGTAGTAAGTCAACAAAAGAAAGAATGCAACGTTTGATAAAAACATTTTACAGGTTCAGCTTCAATCTAGTTTTCCAGCTCTACTTTTTCACGTCCTTTTCCGGAAAACTCGAGCGCAACGAGGTTTTTTCCTCCGCACCCGGGGAGTACTTGCTCTTCCTGCTGTTTCAGATCCTCACCCTCGCGCTCCTCTCCCTCCTGCTCGCCTGGCCGACCGGCTTGCCGACGCTGGGGCCCAGCTTGGTGTTCGGGATCATCTACTACTGGAGCAGAAGAGAACCCTACGCGCAGCTGTCCTTCTTTTCCTTCACAATCCAAGGGTACCAGTTTCCCTTCGCGCTGCTGTTCTTCCAGATGCTCATGGGGGGCAGCATATGGGGCGACCTGCTCGGTCTCGGGAGTGGACACCTGTACTACTTCCTGAAGGAAGTCGTGCCGCAGGAATACGGGTAGGGAAAGTTTTGGAAGTAGAAGAGTAGCATGTGTCTGTCGTTTTTTTGCATATACATTTTTTTTTTATGGGAAAACGAAAATGTAGTGTGACGCACTAGGCTATTAAAAATTGCTCCTATGGCATCTTCAAAAAGAAACCGTTGATCCACCCCAGGTATTCAATAGTCCAAGCGCCGGGCTTCATGCAGAAGCTGGCAATCAACCATCTGGGCGCCATCCCTCCAAGAGGCTACCAAGCACCTTCCGCGCCACGCTTCGGTGGTGCGGGTCAGCGACTCGGCGGGTGAACCGGAAAGACTGACACGACGAGGAACAGTGGCGTTCGGCGGTCGGTGCAGACTGGTTTGCGTGACTCCGTGCGAACGTGGTGCAGTTTGCACGAACATTTCCCCTGTCGTTTCGCAGATGATCCGCTGAGGAAAAGGCTGAGGCTGCTTGACCCGTCGTTGTAACGCGACAGAAGTATGTTCATGAGATGATGATGTGTGCCCCACCCCATCTGAGTTGTTCCCCCACCCCGAAAAGCAATAAACAGAGTTTTTGAAATGTGTCACTAACTCTCGGGGTCCCTCCCCAATTGTAATCTATCAGAATGAACAAGCGGCAAAATAAATGAAAACAACGAGAATACGGAATTCTCGTCGTATCAGGCCATGGCTTGTCGGTTGAATTGAAGCTAGAGCACGCGGTGAATTTGTTTCCGACTGTTCTCGACGTGGAATTGTATCTGCACACGTGCTCGACAAGCCTTTTTTTTGTCGCTGGACTTTCAATAGATCAGACTGTGAAGTAAACCTGAAGTAGATCCAGAAGCTCTTGCGAAGTTCGATCATCAAGTAGTACACTTTTGGGTTGAATTGCTATTTGCGATTTCCAATCTTTCCGAACGTGTGTGAAAAAGATCCGTTTGGTTTTTGCTCAAGTAGCGATTGATTACTTGTTCTGATTGCTTCGGCCTGTCCGCCATAACTCTCCATGGTCTTCGTCTAGGTCTGCTCGGCGCTTTGAATGAGTACAACGTCGTCCTAAAGTTTTTCCGCTGAACATAAAGATCTAGCAATTTGTATCAAAATGGAGTACGAAGTGTACCTTGCGTGCAACGTGCTGGGCCTCGTCGCCATCGTGCTCACGTTCTTTTACCACTACGTGGCGGCCAAACCGCCCAGCGAACTCGCAGACGCGAAGCGGCGCCGGTGAGGGACGGGAGTCGTGCGGCTGGGTTTTCGGCGCCGAGGTTTGTTCACCAAACAAAGAAATGGGATCGAAGCACGTCGGTACATGGAGTGTTGATTTTCAGTTTTCGTGTATTGAGCATGATCATGGGCTACTTCATCTCTTTCGAAAATACGAGCAAAGTCGGAACTTGAGCGTCCATACAAAAAAATGCACCAGTCGCAATGCGCTATAGGTTTTCCTCCGACCGGCCGGCGATGCTTCTGCGGCTCTGTTTCTGCAGCGATGCGACTGCTACGAAAACGCGCGGATTCTCTTCTGCGGATCAGTGGGCGAGTTGGTCTACGAACTTGCATAAATGCTGAAGTCTCGCCCTTGAGAATACGGAGTAAATGAAGACGAGAGGTGAACCCGTTGTCGATGCTCGTCTTAACGAGACCCAGCATCAGTCGTGATTCAGCGACGCCCGATCGGAACAAAAAATGAAACAGTGACATCTAGTAATACACGCTCATCAAGTAGCGAAATTTCCAGCAGCAGCGCGTCCGCTTTTGCTTAGGGCGTCAGAGCGCCAAGCTCAACGGCTGAAAAATCTTCCTGTTCCAAAAAGAACCTGTGACAATATCAAATGTAAAAATGTGTGGGTCTGGAAGAATGCAACTTGTGATGCTGCATTTGGATTCCAAAAAAATCTGTATTGCATGAGTACACAAGGAAAAAAAGCCACGATCAGTGCACGGAATTTGAAAAATTGCGTCACTTTCAAACAGCATAGTGACAAGATCGCAAAAGACGCACGCTATGATCGCAATAAGGATCAACAACAAGATCGAAAATGTGAAGCTCTGGTATGTGAACAAAACCGCTTGATGGATTTTTTGCCACACCAAATTTGACAGAGACGAAATTTCGAACACTAAAAGTTTTGATCTATCTCGATACTTAGACAAGGCGGCAAAGTCATAGCGTAATTAGCTACAAGTATAAGTGACGGTAGAAAAAGGAATAGGTAGCAAAAATCGCTAACACACCACGACAAGGCCATCATCATACAACGCATCACGATATCAAGAAAGCCCACGGCTCACCCACAAACCGACCATGGCCCTGGTTCCGCCGCAGACGCAGCGGCCGAACGTGACGCTGTACACGTCGATGGGCGAAATTTCGATTGAGCTCTACTGGGACCACGCCCCAAAAACGTGCAGGAATTTTTACGAGCTCGCCAAGAAGGGCTACTACTCCGGGACGGTGTTTCACCGCATCATTCGAGACTTCATGGTCCAGGGCGGCGACCCGACGGGGACCGGGCGCGGCGGGGAAAGCATTTACGGAGGAAAATTCGCGGACGAAATAAATCAGCAGCTGAAGCACACTGGTAGGTTGTTTATGGAGAGTTTTGTTCGCGTTGGAGTTGTAGGAATTCTTGAAACAAGTCGTGTTTGATGTCATGCTAGCCGGGTTGTAAAAATAAATCGCAAATTCTCATCTTGTTTAGCAGAAGGTCCTCTCATACGTTTTTCCAATCCGACAATCATTCAATTACCAGGCGCGGGCATCCTTTCCATGGCCAACGCGGGTCCGGACACGAACGGCAGTCAGTTCTTCATCACCCTTGCCCCCACCCAACACCTCGACGGCAAGCACGCCATTTTCGGGAGGATAGAAAAAGGCATGAAAGTAGTGCAGCGCATGGGCATGGTTCCAACCGACGGACGGGATCGACCGATCGACGAAGTGAGAATACTGCGGTGTCACTGCACATAAGCTCGTTTGAGTGCGGTGTTACTACTCGCGAAGACGCGACGTTGTCGTCGCACACGACCTTGCCAAGCAACGTCTAAAGATGCGGTGAACAAGTACTTAGTACTTGTGCTTCGTAGCCACGCAGATAGGACTGGAAGTCCGGTTGGACATTTGAAATGACGCAAACGACATTTAGCGATATAATTCGTGACAAGCGCTTAGCTTTCAACGGCGGTGAAGGAGTTTCCTCCTTGTGCAAGCGATGGTGTAGCTAACGACGCTGTTCGCGGTTGCCGTCCGGACGAAACAATCAGGCTCTTCTATTGAAAAGGAAGATCATCTCCCTTGGGATCAAATTGTCAGGTCGTTCCAAATGATCAGCAAAGAAAAAAGGGTCAAGCGGACTTGGATTTCGGCATGAAGAATGTGTCGTTCAAGAGTGTGTGTAGAAAAGAAAGGCGAAGATCTTGGTTTGAGATGTTTATAGTGATCGTCGGATGTACTTGACACTTCTGAGGCGAAATTAGTACCAGATCAAGTAGAACGACGAAAGACGAAATTAATAAAATCTTTTATAGTAGATCATTGCATCAACAAAAGATCAGTTCCTTAGCCGGACTAAAGCACTGCGAATCCGACGTGAAGATCCAGGGATCCAGCGAGCGAGATAGCAAAATGCGCGATCTAGATCTTGAATGACCGATCAACCGGAGGATGAAATGGATCGATCCATAGTAGAAGTGACGTCGCTGGTAAAAACGGCACTGCCATGATACTTAATTCCAATTCCTATCTTCCCCACCGAATTTCATTCTCACAGCGATCTTAGTGTGGTGGCCTAAGTGCATTTGCGGCTTCTTCATTATGTTGGCGGCCAAACTGCACGGTGGGTCCTCCAAAGATCAGTATGACTATATGCAAAAATTTAGGAAAAAAGTAATCATTTGTTATACTACACCAAGGATCAAATTTTTCTAGAAGCTTTTTAGACATAAGATAATTGCCTACACCTTCATCCCCAAGAAAAACATCCCATGGCGCCCGGCGGCGGTGGCGGCGGGCGCGCCCGCCTGAACCGGAGCTTGATCGACGTGGACAGTCGGATTGGTCTAGACGGGCTTTCCGATTCGATCGCGCGCGATTTCAGTGCGTGCTCCGTGTCCGTGTTGTCGAAGGAGCAGATCCAGGACATTGCGTGCGTGCAAATCACCCACGCTAACATATTCGACGAGTTTGGGACCATTCTCCGCAATGGCCTGCACGACGAGCGCATGGGCGGGTGGTCCGACCGCGCGGACACGCCCTGTCCGACGTGTAAGTTATCGATGGACCAGGGGTGCGTTGGGCACTACGGCCGGATCAAACTCACCGAGCCGGTGTTTAACCCGTTTATGATGACCACGTTGGTGAAGCTGATGAAGAATTGCTGTCGAAACTGCAATAAAATCCGCATGCACGACGCGGAGAAAGAGAATTTGCTGAGAAAATTCCAGTACTGCCGCCTCGGGTTTCTCCCGCCCGATCGGGTCTTCGACAAGAAGGACGGCAGTAATTTAGAGCGCGAATTGGACGCGGGAAACGGGTTCGACGACGACAACAGCGCGGACACGGTGGTCAGGTACGAAGACCACACGTACCTGGCGAGGTCGGAAACGAAGGCGGAACCCAGTGGTATACTAGAACGTTTTAATGATGGTTTTTTGCATGAGATGGAAATGTTAGATAGTAGTAGAGTCGGCTTGTTTAATATTCCAGCTGATCTTCGTAGCGACCATACTATTGCTGTATCATTGTAGAGTGTAGTCGTGCACGGATGTTGTTGCTGCGACAGATTCTTAACTTTCAGTTTGACCGAAAACCACTTTCGCAAGTTACCGAAATATTTTTAAACTGAAAATATTCACAGCGTCCTCCTCCTCCTCTTCTTCCTCCCCAAAGACGAGCTCCGCTTCGCAAAACGACTCTTCCGTCGCCCACAAGCTGCGGGAGGAAACTTGGGAGGCGAAGAGCAGCGACGACCACCGGCAATTTGCGAAGGATTTGATATCACAGTGCACAACTCCCCCTCCCCCTCATTTGTCATGCAATATACCCAATCCAACCTTTGAGTCTTGGCACTGTTTGCATGACAAGTTCTGGTACCCCAAATAGCACTACAATCCAGTAGAAATTTGTCATGCAAAACCGGCACTCTTGCTGATGCTTGTATTGCCGCTTATGCAATATAAATGAGGCGGAGGGGGAGTTGTGCACCGTCATATTTGAAAGAGTCCGTGCAGAAAGCGGACGAGAAAAAGCGCAACAAGGCTTTGCGGCAGTTGGCAAAGTACTCGCACGACAACAGCCCGGACCGCGAGCTGCCGAAGCAGGGCACCGCGGAGTTTAACGCGGCGTTGCTCGAGACTTATCGCGGTTTGTTCGACTACTTTGAAAAGAACCAGCCCATGGGGAAGTGCGCCAACTGCGGTTCGTTATCGGATAAGTGGCGGAAGGACGGGTGGAGCCGGGTGTTTGTCACGTACAAGGACCCGAACACGGGCGAACAGGTGCAGAACCTCGCGATCCCGCGCATGGTGCAGAAGATGCTGGAGAAAATCTGGAACGGCGAGGATCAGGAGCTGTTGGAGTACCTCTTCCCCGGCAGCCGGCACTTCGGCGCGGGCAAGGGCTGGGAACTGTTCTTCATGGAGGAATTACTGGTAACCCCGAATCAGTTCCGCGCGCCCCGGAAGACGACCAGCGAAATTTGGCAGCTGGACCACGAAAGTAAGTGTCTGCAGGCGATCCTGTTCGCCTGCGACGAGTTGAAGAAGGTCGCCGCGGAAAAAACGAAGAACAAGGAAGGGACAGCGAACCAGGCGGGAGGCGGCGGTAGCGGTGGTGGTGATGCGGGTCAACGACAGGCACTACTGGACAACGCGGACGCCAGCACAGACCCGAAGAAACTTCAACTACAGGCGAACCTCGAGGACTTTGCGATGCAAAATGACAAAGCAGGAACTTTGAATGAGGGGACAACTGGAGAATTACAGCAGCAGACCACAACAAAATCCGCATACCAACAGAAAATCGACGACACGGCGCTGGCGAAGGCGTACGTGACGCTGCAGGAGAAGGTAAACGTGTACATGGATGGGTCGAAGGGCGTGTCCAAAGCGGAACTGGAATCCAAGGGCATCCGGCAGAAAATCGAGAAGAAGCAGGGTATGTTCCGCATGAAGATGATGGGAAAAAGAGTCAACTACGCCGGTCGCTCCGTCATCTCCCCCGAACCCAACGTCGAAACCAACGAGTATCAAATGCAAAAATGTCTGGGTCTGGAAGAGTGCCAGGCTTTTCATGCATATTTTGCGTGACACATTATGCCTGTAATGCATGGCCTAGCATGACGGATTTCTGGTGCGTATTCCGCATGAGAAATACCCTCTCCGCGTAGCACAAACTGGACTCCTTTTGCTGGTCATGCAATACAGACTTATCCTAGAATACAGACGCATCCTAGGGTTGCGTCTCGCTATCAGGGTTTCGCCAACTCCGCGGGGGCGTTGCGGGTATCTCCCTAAAACACCAAAACCGGCACAAATTGGGCCGGCAGTCCGGGTAATTGCTCACCAGCCGGTTTGTATGGCGGAATAAGGTGCTCGACGAACGAAGAAGTAAGCATGTAATTAGCACCTCCGGTTGGTAGAGCGATCGGCCACCGAGGCACGTCAGGGGGCGTCGCTACTTCAATTCAATTCAATCCAAAGACAGCATTACAAGTTGCAATCTCCCAGACCCAGACATTTTTGCAATCCATAACGAGATCGGCGTGCCGATTTTTATGTGCAAGGTGCTCGGCGTGCCCGAGCGGGTGTGGCAGGGGAACCTGCAGTACTGTCAGCAGCTCGTGCGCAACGGCAACGACATCTACCCGGGGGCGTCGCAGCTGTTCGTTCCCACGGCGGACGGTCAGCGGTACAACGTGATCGACCTGGACAAGCTGAATTTCGACGGGCGCAACACCCACGCGGAAAACCTGTCGGGGTCCGCGACGAATCTGGATTCCGAGCGACCCTACATCGTGTACCGAAACCTGATCGACGGCGACCCAGTCCTGATGAACCGGCAGCCCACGTTGCACAAACCGGGAATCATGTGTCAAGTGGTGAAGGTGTTGAAGAAGGAGAACACGCTGCGGTTCCACTACGCAAATTGTAACACCTACAACGCAGATTTCGACGGGGACGAGATGAACATGCACGCGCCGCAGGTAAATGGATCCTAATTTCATCTGATTGGGTTATAGGAGTTTGTCATGCGTCGAAAGCGAGTACCAGTACTAGAACGCGCATATTCATCATTTTTGTTTCTCGATTGTTGTTGCATCAGCACGTGTAAAGAACATTGTGTCAAATTATAACCCTTGGTGTTCCTATCTCGACCAAAAATCATCTTCAAAACAGGATATCCAAGGGCGTCTGGAAGCGTTGCGCATTGCGGAGGCGGACCGGCAGTACGTGGTGCCGACCAGCGGGAAACCCTTGCGCGGGATCATCCAGGACCACATCGCGGGCGCCGTTTTGATGATGGCGAGAGACACTTTCTTCACGAAGTCCGACCTGTGCCAATTACTTTACCGGGGATTGCGGTCTCAGATGGAGAAGCGAAAATCCACACACTGGGTGAAAATGCCAGATCTGAACGAGTTGACCAAGGGCGTCACCCAATCCTACGAGAACGCCGGTATGGAGGGCATAGGGATCAAAACGGACACGAGGATTTCGTGGCCGACGACCTTCACGACCCCCTACGGACCGCTGCTGATCGACCCACCGTGTATTATTCATCCAGAAGAAAAGTGGTCCGGGAAGCAGGCGTTCTCCATTTTGCTGAAGAACTTGATTCAACTCCACAACGGGAAACAGCAGGTGTTCCACACGTCGAAGTGCAAAACCCCCGGCGACATGTGGAACGGGGTGTTCGACAAGAATAAGGAGGAGGAACAGATCCTCATCCGCAACTCCGAACTGCTCCGCGGCGTGCTCGACAAATCCGAGTTCGGGGCCTCCGCCGGGGGGCTCACCCACCTCTGCTACGAGGTGTTCGGTCCAAAGATGGCGGGCGCGGTGCTGTCAACCTTCGCCCGCGTCTTCACGGCCTACTTGCAGACCCGGGGGTTCACCTGTGCGATGATAGACGCTCTGGTCGAAAAACCGGCGGAGAAAAAGCGAAAAGACTTGATC